GCCATCTACTTCCAATGGATACTCGCTCATGTCTTTAGCGATCCTTCCCACATCTTTAGTAAGCTTCATCAAGTCAGCAATGTTTTCCAAACAGCCATTTTAGGGCTATTTTCAATGGACAATCACCCCCTCCCCACTATCTCCTACTTTAATTGCCATTTAATCCACAATTAAAGGCTATTAACTCTCTCTTTTAGCCTATAAAAGAAGAGAAGATTACTGATTTTAGGGGATCATTTGATAATATAGAGACTAACAAACACGCATAAAGATATTTTTATTATCACACTTACGATCTAATTGAGTGAAAATGTCAAGAGAAAATTAAGTCATCTTCCATGTCATGAAGCTCTCACCCAACAACAAAAGACTCGTTGTCTTAGTTGGTGCATCAACATAATATAAGATCGACATTTCATTCGCACACAGAAAAGAACCCATGGAAAAAATAATTTATTTCTTGTTTCATTGTAATCGTTGTAACTGTAATCTAAGATAATTGCAATACAAAAGACGAGAAACACTAGGGCCTAGGCTTTTATGGTCATATGGTACTCAAATTGTATGTCATACTTGCTAAAATTGACAGACCAATTGATCATACGTCCAAAGGTGGTAGAACTGCGAAGTGTTTTCTTCAAAGGTAAATTATCCTGCACCACTATAGTGTGAGCCTAGAAGTAAGGGTGGAGCCTCCTAGTAGTAGTTATGGGAGTGAAGTACGCTTTCTCGATAAGAATGTAATTGAGCTCAGCAACCTTTAGGATACAGCTGCCATAGTAGACTGGCCTTTGAATATTCTCCTCTTCCCATACTGGAACTGAACTCACAACTTCTAGCGAAGTAGCCAAATAGAGGTAAAGGATTTCTCCTTTCATGGTTTGGCTCAGTAGGGGCTTGGTGCTTAGTTATCTCTTAAGCTCAATCAATGCATTGCTACATTCCACTATCCATCTGGTGCCTTCTTTGGGTTCCTTGCTATCTTTGACGCTTTTGAAGAAGGGGAGACTTCTTTTGGCTGATTTTGAGAGGAAATGGCTCAAAGTAGCTATTTTGCCATTCAACTACTAAACATCCTTCAATGTGCGTAGCTCAAGCATTTGCTTGATGGAGGAGATCTTCTTGGGGTTTATCTTGATGCCCCTATTTAGTGATCATCAAGCACATAAATTTTCCTAACTACACTCCAAAAGCACATTTGGCCCGGTTGAGCTTAATGCAAATGTATCGGAGGATGGAGAAAGTTTCTTTGAGATTTGACATATGAGAATTCGCATTTTTGGATTTCACTTGGATGTCATCCACATACGCTTCTGTATTGTGGCTAATTTGTTGCTTGAAAATTTTTTTCACTAACTTTTTATAGGTGGATTTAGTATTCATGAGACTGAAGGACATTACTTTATAGCAATAGGTCTCTTGGTCTGCAATGAATGAAGTTATCTTCATTGTCTTCAGCCATTATAATCTGGTTGAACAAATAGAAAGTATCCATAAAACTAAGTAATTCGTAGCAGGCACTTTCAATGACCAATTGATCAATCCTTTAGGCAAGCTTTGTTTAAGTCTGTGAAGTCCACACATGTCCTCCACTTGCCTATAGATCTCTTGACTAGCACCGCATTTGATAATCATTCTGGGTATTGGACTTCTTAGATGAATCAAGCTTTACACAATTGATTGACCTCTTATGCAGCTACCTTCTGCCTCTAAGGGTCGAGATGTGTCTTCTTTTGTCGGACCAACTTGCTATGTCGGTCGACTGATAGCTCATGGCTCATCACTCTAGGAGGAATCCCTAGAATATCGTTGGGCCCCCAAGCAAAAACATCCATGTTGACATAAGAAAACAATGGTAGTTCCTCGCTGTGTCTAAGTTAATTCTCACCCGATCTTGACTTTCTTGGTTTCATCGAGGCCAATCAATATCTCTTGTAGTTCTTCTATGAGAAATGTTCATAGTTGCTCTTCATCTTTTTGCTTCTTTGACTGGGCCTTCTCGATCGACGAAGTCTCTAAAATTCCTTTTCTCTTCATCGAGAGCAGATAACACAATTTGGCCTCTCATTGGTTGCTCCGCATAGATTTGACTCCTGTTATGGTCGAGAACTTTATCATCTGATACTAAGTGGATAGGAAGGCCTGTAAGTTGTTAAGGATGTTCTTCTGAGAATAACATTATAGGCGAACATCACATCCATTATAATGAATTGGACTTAAATCAAGGACTAGCACGAATAATCACCAACTACCAAGAGCAGAGTGACAAGCCCTCAGGCTGGATCGAGTGCCCTAAGAATCTGATGATGGGACTTAAATCAAACTTGTTAATTCCCATCTGATTAAACGCCTCCATAAACAAAATATTGATGAAACTTCCAGTATCTATCAATATTCTTTTGGCTTGAGTTCCATTAATCTTGACTGATACATTGAGGGGATCATCATGAGTGGTCTCTACACCTTTCAAATCAACATTACTGAAGGAAATAGGCTAATTTGTCTTAGGTTTCCTCTCACACACATTGACTTCCAACACTTACCAGGCATACTTCTTCAAAGCATTGTTGGACATTTCTCCAGTTGTTGGGCCACCGCTAATAGTGTTGATGCTGCCTTGTGTGCCTATTTCTCTAAGTTGATTGCCCTGTTAGTTTAGGCAAGGGTGTGATCTCAACCAGGCAACAGGGTATTCTCGACCTAGATCTTCTCCTCTCTGACCTTTCTGAGGTCGGCTTCCCACTGTCCTAATGGGAGATAAACTTCTTCAGTAGTCCCCTCTATGTCATGTCATTAATATCTTTCTGAAGATCCAATGATGGCCATGATCTCGGTGATATCGACAATATTTTTTAAGGTCTCTAAATTGAGGGTTTGACTTCATGTAAGGGAGAGGAGTGGTGAGGTGTCCCTCCTTCTAAATCAAGTACAAAGGTTGTGAGAATCAGGTGTTGAAGGGAGTGAGTGTCGGTTTCTTTGCTGCTTCTTTCTTTTAATCTCTTTTATCGACCCAACCAAGTCGGGTGTTACCCTTGGGCTATCATCTTCAACCTTCTTTCCTCAAGAGGATTTTGTTTTTAGCTACCTCTCATTGGGCCACCTTCTTGTGTGCTCAACTATCTTCAGTATCAATGTGTGATCGAGCTCTAGCTATCAGTTGGTTGAAATTAGTTACATAGTTTGTGATAAGAGAATTTGGTAGCTTTTCATCTTCTAGCCTAACAACACTTGTAGCCATGACGACCATATTGCTAAGGTTTTCAACCTTTATCGTTTTGGCCTAAAACCCTTTGAAATAGTCTCTTAGGCTCTCGCCGAATCTCTATTTTTTCTACAATAAGATAGAGGAAGGAGCCTTTTGCTTTGTGTCGGCCAAAAAATGATGCAAATACTTTTGGCTGAGATGCTCAAAGATATAATGAAATTCTTATCCTACGAGTTTCACCACATCTTCACACTGGCCGTTAGGGTGATTGGGAAGGCTTTGCAGATGACCGAGTTGATCACTTGTACCATGTACATTACATCATAACAATTTTGTACAGGCTTAGCAGGATCTCCTTCACCCTTGTATTTTTTTATGTTAGGCATCTTGATCATAGGGCATAGAGCATGCATGATCCAGTCGACAAGAGGCATATTTACTTCAATGACCTCTACAATAGTGTTGAACGTTTGGTCGTAACCAAATGTAAAGTTTGTGGTGGAAGGATCCATTTTGCTTATGAGGCCTGGAGCGATATAGGGATATTTGGCACCATGCGACATCGTCCGGGTGTCATTTTCACAGCCAAACTCAAACTTTCTCTTGTAGCCTCCATGTTGTGATGTGGTTGCTATGGATGAGAGGTGAAACAAGCTTGCTGCCATGGTGGTAAGGTGTGATATCTCTAGTTTGCTCCTCTAACATTTATCACTGAAGGTGATCTCCTTGGGGAGAGGTGACAGATGGTGGAGGTGGATGAGAGAGAGGAATCTGGCCAAGAAGTTCATCCATGAAAGCAGTGAACTGTTGCTAAACAAAATGGGCTATTCTCTGGGAACTAACGATCGGTCTAGTTGATCGGAATCAACCATCTTTTATAAAGAAGAAAAGAGGCTCCACGGTGGGTGCCAGAGTATTTATGTTAGAAACTTAATTAAGTGGATTAGGATAGATTTAGGAGAGCTTAGGGTCCCTCAATCCTCATTGATGATTGATCACTCTGAGCAGAAGAAGATTCCTACATAAATGTGAAATGTTAGAGGGTCGGAGTTGGATTCTCTAGCAGTTCCTCTGATAATCAAGTTAGTGATGAACCTAAGGAAGTATGTACAAGAAAGGAGTAGATTTCAGGGTTTTTATCATTGAGAATAGCGGATCTCCATGCATAAGAAAATCTACATATTTATAGTGAGTCATAAGGATATTTGGGTTACTTCAGTCAGCAGGTCAATGCAGTCGCCTTAGTTAGCTGACACTTTACACGCGTTGGGAGCTAGTGGTCCGAGTCATTCTTGTGTTTGCGGCGGTGACAGAATGGCTAAGGTGCTGACATAGTCCGAGGAGTCATTATGACTTCAGTGGGGGAGTAATGATGGCTCTGACGATGCATTAATGATATGGTGACTAACTGACGTCGCTGGGGAATGCAAAGTAGATAGGTTCCCCCGTGGCTCAAGATGCATTGCCGAGTCCGAGTGGAGATGTCTTTCGTCTCGGTAATTCAAGAGAGTCCAAGTGAAGATGCCTTTCATCTCGGGTTTTTGAGAGAAAGTTCAAGTGAGGATGCTTTTCGTCTCGGATCACAATGTGCTTTAAGAAGGGTCGCCGGTGTTCGTGAGACCTGGGTCGGGTTAGTGTTACAATGCTTAAGTTGGATAATTGAGACATGTGTCATCCTCTTAAGAGCAATTTATACTTAGAAATTTATATGATATATACAACTATATAAAAATTATTTACAGGTCAAAGAAATTTACAAAATGCACATGCAGAATTTAAGGGGGAAAACTCCCACTCAAAACCTTGAGACTTCTACAATGGTGCTCAGCCTCTCTCTAAACAAATTTAAGGGTACAGAACTTCCCATCTTTTTCCTGGCAACCTTTGCACTCAAATTACTAACACTGAACTCATTAATTCTCTTGTAATCCTCAAGCTCATCATCCTCAGTCATAGGCATAACCTGAAATATTGAATTTACTCTCTGCCGACTTTTCGTTGGGCTCGAAATTACCAAACTATCCTTAACTGCTAATGTGGCCATATCCTCACTGGATAGAGTAGATCTGAGCTTCTCTATTGGCAATATGAAATACAATTGGCCTAGCTGAACCATTTCAGTGAGATCTAGAGCTGAAATGTTTTCATTGTAATTTAAACTATCAGCGTTGCAGAGAAAACAAGATACAGTGTCTGAGCCTAGCACTTGGCGCACACTAACAGGAGTAGAGTACTCTTTTAAACAGCCATTGGCGGTTACCACCTTTGATGTTGATTGGCTGTCGACGGTCGATTCTGTTGCTGCCACGGAGAAGCAAGAGCCCATTTTCGCACTAGCTAGCTAAGTATTCGTGCTGATGCTGATGCAATTTGTGTGAGGGGAATGAGATCAGAGGAAAGGGGGTGTTGGTTGACGAAGAGAAAGAGGTTGGTTCACTGAAATATATATAGGTGAAGGGAGACGTGAACACGGGAAGGAGAGAGGGATTGAAGCCTAGGAGTGGAATGGAGTGTGACGTGGGCGAAGTCGTCACTCACGGAATTGTTACGATATTATGGTTAACTTACTAGTTTGAAAGTCATATAGGTAATCACGATTTCTGTAGGTTGTGTTAGTTTGAAGTTAGTACTTTCCAAAAGGAACACCTGGCCTTCAGTTGTTTCTTACTCCTGGTACAAAGAATTTACCCAATATTTCAGTAGTTTATCGTTTACTCCGGCAAAAAATAGGGGCTCCGAACTTATTTACGTTCCCAATCATTCAGCATAATTTTAGTGCCTGATCTTTTGCTTATCATCCAAAGTAAGCAATCACGTGGAAACAAATTGGTACTTGTGGTTGTCGTTGCCAGTGATTCATGTATGGCGGCTAAGAAGAATGTTGTATTGCAGAGTAAAGACTTAGATTAATATAGCACGTTAAGAACTCTGTCATTGATTCTGAAAAATTGGTTAACATGGCGTGAGGATTTGGAGGTAGGGGTGCATTCGGTCCAGATATGTTTTGGATATGATACTTATTATATCCAAAATCAGTTTGCCTATCTCGGATACTGATGCGAATATGGATATACCTCAGCAAAGAAAATTCATATTCATATCCGCTAAAATCGGATGCAGTTACGGATATACATGTAAATATGTAAGCAGATATGTATGCAAATGCAAAATGGATATGAGAAAACTAGATAGTGCTGATTAAAAAATATAATACATGTGATACAAAAGAGTTTGTTAATATGTTCATTATAACTGTAAAGCTAGATCATCAAAATTAACTATAAATCCACAATATAAGAATTAAAACTTTGTAAGAGTATGACTAATATGTATTCGCATATTTCGGATATGGATCCAGATATTTTACTACAAAATATTACCAAACTTTCAGGAGTTTTGCACATAATCGTCTTGGACCTTAACTCAGGGATTAGATTAGCTGATACTTATGTTGTTCTTGATTCGAATCTCGTAGACCTTCAAAATATTACAATCATCACTCTTGATTATGACCAAACGTCAATTCGTTTCTTCTAATTTAATCTAATCTTCATAAACACTTTATTAACCTTCACCACGTGTTAGGTCATTTCCAATTAGATGGCTCGCCATGCGATCAAATAACCCGCATTAATAGAAGGGTGTTCTCTAAGATACACGCATTAGCCGCCAATACAAGATTTCAAGCCGAATCTTACTCTTACTAATCCCATTTGCATGTGATTTCTTTGTACGCGCGATAAGTAAAAGATCAGAGTTGGATAAAGTTGGGCGCCTCCAAATTTTTCTGGGATAACGAGAAACGGCTCCATGTAAGGTCATATTATATATCTAAAGAATGTAATAAGAGGTACATTCGTTGTACTACAAGTTAGCCTCACACTTAAAAGCCAAGTGTTGATGTTGAAAGTTAATTAAATAGCTAGCGTGACAACGACAGAAACTGGAAGTCGGCGTCCATGAATCTAAAACAACTAAGCTGACCTTTGCACCAAATCCGCTAGTGACGACTTCGCTCATGTCACGCTTAATTCTGCAACTAATTATGAATCATCTTCTCCCTGATCAGTTTCCCCTGTTCACGACTCTCATCACTTATTTAAGCCACTAGCCAATTCTATTTTCACCAACAGCTTCCGCTTCTCTCTAAAACTCATTCAAATATTATATACCACACGATCAAAGAACAATGGGATCTTGCTGTTGGAGTGTGCAAGTTGCGGAAGATAAAACTTAAACAATCAAGAAACCCCAAATCTACTAAGCAATCAAGACAAATAGCAAACAACAAAATTTAATGTGGTTCCATGCGATCAAGATGATCCGTATACGTTCACGGGGAGAAAAGAGAAAATCTTATTTTTTTTGAGAAGGGATTACAAGAGGTTGAAACTACACACCGCTAACAATGGTGGAATATAGATCTCTCTTTTTTCTTGTTATTAAACCCATTGATTGATATGTTGGGGTTGAACACACAACCCATGCCCTTCCGGATCTTATGTCGAAAGTAAGCAAGCAGAAAATCACAGCAAATAAAAAAAAACTTACAGGAAAGAATAATCAAATAGAGAACACCAAATTTAACGAGGTTCGACAAACGTGCCTACGTTCTCGGGAGCCACACCAAAAAACATTGATTAATGTAGGAAGATTACAATGCTCGCAATAGACCTCTCTCTCTCTCTAAGATCTCTGATCTCAAAGTGCTGTCAAAACCCACTTTTTTCGTGTTCAACAAACCCTAAAATATTTAAGGTATATATAGTATCCCAACCCAAAATAGATTGCCAAACAGACTGGGAATTTGGAAAATCGACCGATGCAATGGCGTCTGTTGACCAGCCAGAACACTAATTTTTTACAGTCTGCTCGTGCACGTTTCGGTCGACCGGTGCCCTATCGTCGGTCGACCGTTTGACCATTCTCGGTCGACCGTCAGCAAGCTTCGGTCGACCGGCCAGAGCGTGTTTCCTAGGTTGTTTTCTGCAAGCATTTCGGTTGACCAGTCCAAGCCTGTCGGTCGACTGGAGCTGGATTTTTCAGCTTCATTGTTGATTTCATTTCAAGTTTCAGTCTTCCCACTTCCAAAACCAACAATCTCTACATGGAGACGAAACCACCATCAATGAGCTCTCTCGAACTCCCACGTTCTTCGTAAGTATCTTCTCCTATCCGGAAAAATCTATTCTTCAATCATCATCAACCCTGCGATCCCGCCTATCCTTCTAGTATGGCTCAGCCTTCTTCTATTACGCATGAAGGCTAACTGAAGCTGCGCACAACTCCAGTTTTTCGATGGTCACTGCTTTCGTCAACATATTCGTATGACTTTTGCTCCCCAAAATCTTCTCTAATCGTAACTTGTCGTCCTTAATCTTTGAGCATATGAAGTGGTACTGTACGTCGAAGTTCTTCGTTCTGGCATGATATACTGGATTCTTGGTAAGGTGTATAGCACTCTGACTATCACAATAAAGAACATCGTTCCCCTGCTTCAAAACTAACTCTTTCAGGCATTCGGTCAACCAAACCTTTCTGGTTTTAGTCACTACGACATACTCTGCCTCAGTCGTGGACAATGTTACTATCTTCTGCAAATGTGAGACTCAACTCACTACTGTTGACGCTAAGGTATAAACATATTCCGTGGTACTTCGCCTCGTATCTTGATCACTGGTGAAATTTGCATCCACGTAAAGACGAAAATCATCAAAGGGGAAGGATAAAGTGAATGAAACTTCGGGCCATATAGCTAACAGTATAAAGTCCACCTCTGAAAAAGGGAAGGAGGGTAAGAATGAACACAATCCTCAATCGATCAAGATGGAGGAGTCTGAAGCTCGTCTCAACGCAATTACTAATATGAGTGAGCTCCAAAACGATGGAGTAGTGCGGCCTTGTCCTGCAGAATAGGATACAACTCCCTATCCTCCGAAATTCAAGGTCCCGACTCTACAACCTTTTGATGGCACAGGATCGCCAAACTAACACATCTATTACTTCAAGTCGTAGATTGGAGATGTAATAGCGAACGATGCCATATTGACACGTTTGTTCATCGACACCCTTAAGGGTTTTGCCTTCGAATGTTTCATTAAGTTGCCTGCTAGGTCTTTTCATAAATGGGTAGATCAAGAAAGGTTTTTCTTAGCCAGATTCTTCGAAGATGATTTGGAATACTTTGTCCTAACCCTTCTCGCCACCAAACAGAGGAAGGGAGAATCCATAAAGACCTTTATGGAGAGATTCCGAAGTATGGCCCAACGATGCCTATCAGGTATGGCGCAATCTACTTTGGTGGAAACTTACAGGCACTACTTGCAGACCCATCTCCTAGCTCAAATGGGAGTAGCAGAATGTCGCTCATGGAAGTAATTAGTCTCACAAGGAGAGCAGGCAGAAGAAATTGTTGTCCGTGTCAGAGCTGAAGAAGCTAACAAGCCAAAGCCGTAAGCACAAAGAAACCAAGGCAACATTCCTAGACCCAAGGGAAAGGAGACTCTGGCCGCTGATACCAACTCCCGCGCGCCACCTACGAAACAAGGCAAGGCGTCGAACCAACAAAGGGTGCCCAAGCAGTACACTTTCAAGGAGGAACATGTGGACACACTATTCTAGTTACTTCGGAAGAACAACAAGCTAAAACTTCGTGAAGTAAAGAAACTCGAAGAAGTAGGGAAAATAGATGATCCTAACTGCTGTCGGTATCATAGAATGCTAAGACATGTAATGATGAGATGTTATATCTTCAAGGATATTCTGCAACACCTGGTCGATGCTAATGTACTCAAGCTGAAACCAGAACAGAAGACCGTGTCCGCTAATTTTATATCGGTACAGTTCAGAGATTTTCCTCTTGTAACAGTAGTAGATGGTGTTGTCCCTATACCTAGGAGAGAAATACACATTAAGGTTGCTGACCTGCATAGTCCGAAGGATAAAGGATTGATACCCCTAACTACTCCAAAAGGAGAAATCATGTGGGTCGATCCTGACTTAATTGAAGAGCAACAGTGGACAAGTGCATCAATGAAGAAGAAGAGTGGCAAGGTGAAGCCCACCAATAGGATTAGCCCCTCTATAAGTGAGGATGATGATCATCTTAAACCTCTCATGGAATCGGAAGAAGAGAGGATTGTTCTTGCGACAGATCAAGGAGGTAACCCTGGCACCCGATTAGGAAAAATATATTTGAGAAATTATAGCCAAGATGCCTAAGGAGCAGAAGAGCAAGCGCCAGAGGCTGGGGGTTCTGCTCCCAAAAAGACAACCGATAAGGGGAAATAGAAAGAGCTTCGTTTCAACCAGAACCTTCTTCAACAG